CTATCCAGACATGGATATAATAACTTTGTTTTGAGTTGTTCGGCATCTGCTGATTCCCCTATGGGCACCGCAAGCTGATTCAACAACAAAATCATCCATTCTTTTTGTCTTCTATCTCCGCCCAGAAAGTTTCTCCTCAATTATAATGTGATTAATTTCACACAATGCCTTTGCTCTGGCATACATATCTGCAGCAGTGGAATCACTGCGTTTTTGTTTTAGGGAGGCACACACAGCATCTTTGTATGCCATTGCTTGGGGAAGGTCAATGGTCTCTTTTTGGAGGTATTTATGCAGGCCTGCCACTACAGATAGGAGATCCTTGAAAAGAGTCAACAAATACACAAATGAGAATTTGCAGATTTTAGTTTTCAACCCCACTGCAGTAGCCGTGTTGATGGCAGACAGGCATTCAATGATGGCAGGCAAATTGTCAAGCACAGCATTCACTGTGGGAAGCTGGCAGGCCCATCGTGTATTGGACAGCTGCACCAGTTCACATGGTTGCAATCCCAATTTTGTTTGTGCTTCTTTAAACTTGTGGTGGCTAACCAGAGAGCAACTAAAAAATTAGTAAAGATTTTCCAGCAGGCGAACTCTGTGGCCTCAGTAATCCCTCTGCAGGTGTGGCACAAGACAAGGTTCAACTCATGGGCATAACAATGAACATATATAGCCTCAGGGTGCCTCTCCCTGAAAAGAGATTGAACACCTCCAGCTGCTCCACTCATTACTGCTGCCCCATCGTATGTCTGAGCAACACGCTTCAATTGAGCAATTCCTTCTTCTTGTAATTTCCTCTCTAATGCTTCTGTTATTGACTTAGCATCAAAACTTCTCAGCTCTGTCAGAGACAGGAATCTCTCTTTAACTGTTCCCTCAGTGACATACCTCACACAGATAGCTAGTTGTTCAGTGTGTCCATCTCTGGCCTCATCTGCCATAACGGCAAACATTTTTGACTCGTGCATTTCTTTGATAATAGTTGATGTCACCTCTTTTGAGCAGCAGTCTATCATTTCATTCTGACTGACAGGGGAGAGCTAGGTGCTGTTTAATGGGGGAGTGTAATTTTGCAAGAAAGGATCAAACTTCTGCAAAAGCCCCATGCATTCCATGAAGTTGGTCTTATTATGACCTTCTGCTGTTTCATTATGACCCCTGAATGGAAGCCCTTGCTTCCCTAACATGCAGGTCACAGCCACAATACGTTGCATGTACTCCCTTTGTCTAATTTTATCAGCACTTGCTGCTTCAATCTGCTGTACAACATTTCCTCGTAATGCACTAGCCTTGTAACTGTTCCAAGAGACAATACACTCCTTGTGTGTGTTTGAGTCCCCTCATGTTTGTAAAATGCGTTGAGTGCCTTTTTCCAGTTTTTGAATCCACTACTCACAAATATATCATGCTTCAAGTTTTTACCAAAGACACGACAAGCAAAGCAGTAGGCAGAATCTTTCTTCTCTGAATACTCGAGCCAAGCAAAAGTCTGAAACCAGTTTGGCTGGAATGATCTTTTTTGTAAGACAAAGTGCTCCTGGGGATAATGGTGTAATTTTGGCTGTTTTGGGCCTGTGTTCTTTTCAGAGCACAGCTGCTGTCTGTGCTTCATCTGAGTACATTTCTTTCTCTGCATATATGTCCTTCTCTCTCTCCTGACTTATGTCTTTGTCTTCTTCATGCTCTCTCTGTCCCTGTACTGTGACAATCATGTAAAAAATATGTATGGTAACTTCATTTGTATTTTTTTAACTGACCAGACACTGTATGCAAACCAACTCTGTTCACTTTCTCACCTGGATCATGATCTTGCCCTATACTGTGCCTTCTTCAATCTGCTCTGCCTCGACTTCACTCTTTTTTGGCACTGACTTTTCTGAGAAACCAAAAAAAATGAATTCTACTTCACGTGTCTGTGAAAGACAATTCATAATTTATTGTTGAGTGCCAATGACGTCAAAACATTTATCTGTTTATCCTTTGACAATACTGCTGCATTTTGGTGGAAATTGGCAGACATAAAAATGTGAAAAATAGGCTACTTTAGGGTGCAATGACTGCAATCAATGTTGGGAACACAGTGGTAATGTATGTATTGTCACGTGTCAAATTCATGGATCCATAACTTCAAAATGGTACAGTATCCAACAATGCTATGGCTCATTTATTTCACATTTATTTGTATAGCGCTTTCCACAATAGGCCTGCATATAGTTTCAAAGCAGCTTTACAGAAAATGTATGTTTCTATAACAAATATGCATTTAAGCAAACTTAGTGTGCATTTTAAAGCTATGATAATGTGATCATTTTGTATAATGATCCAGAGCTGACATCATCTGGAGTCCTCGCAGGGGTTAGAGTCATATATTCAGTGTGTTAACAAGTGTTAAGTCATCTTAAGTCTCCAAGAGGCTGCATTCAAACTGGAGCTGGCATATCTAACCAACACTATGCGAGATACTGATGAGGTAAACAAAATAATAGAAGCTACTTCACTTTGAAAATCGCCTTTTGCAAAAAAACCTTGAGGCATTGGTAACATACCTGAGAGTGGATTGTCGAGCTTGATAATGCAATTTAAGATTTCCTAACTAGAGATAAGATACGATTTTGTAAGATAAGATAAGAATCCCAAATCAAGTTAACATTTGCTTCTGTAATATGAATTTGTGGCTCCTCCTTCCCGCCAGCTCCACCTTGGTCCTCAGTCGCTCCGGCTACACCGCGGATCTCCGGATCTCCGCCTCTGCCTCGGTCGCCAGAGCCCTCGGCTCCACCCTGGCTCCCCAGATCCTCGGCATCCCCCTGGCTCGTTGGCTCTACGTTTCCGCCTCGGGCTCCTCCACCACCTGCTCTGCCGCTGTTGGTCGGCCCCCTGGAATCGGCGGCCATTACTCCTCCATGGCTCCTCCCTCCGTCGGCTCCACCGTGGGTCGACATTATGGCTGTGGCCTGGGTCCTGCTTGGCTCCTCCTGCTCCAGGTCCATCCTTTCTCCTCCCTGGCTCCTCCCTCCTTCGTCGCCTCCCTGGTCTCTGTCTGCCGGCCCCCTCCCGGGTGTCCGTCCTCCTCCTGAGCCTCCTCCTTAGTTCCCACCCATTCCCCCCCTCTGTTGGTCATGTTCCTGTCCTCGTTTAGTTTATGTTCCATTGATGTCACCTGTGTTCCCCTGATTGCCCTGTGTTTAAAAGTCCTAGTCTGTTCAGTTTGTGTTTGTCAGGTCTACTCGTTCTCTACGTGTGTTGGCTCCAGCTCCTATTGTGGATTATCTCCTATGTTTCCTTGATTAAAGACAGTTCTCGTTTACTCGTGCTTCCTCAACAGCGTAACGTGACACTGTTCAGATTCTGATATTTATATTATTGGTTCTTTATTTTGGCATTATTGCACACTTATATTTTATATTTCAGTGGATTTAACCACCAGTGCCTGTCGTAGTCAAATGGATGTTGATTGGCTAGCAGTGTTTTTATTGTTCATCAGCTGAAAAAAAAAAAAAGCTCTTAAAGTGATCACAACCATTTTTCTCCATGTCATTGTCAGCAATTCCATGGTTACAGTGATCATTCTTGGTGTGAAAAACAGCAAAATCAATAAAAACAGTTTTCAATAAGCAGAAAAAACATCTTGTGTTTTCTTATAACTTAAAACCAAGCAGGCCTGTGATCTGTTTCAATTAGTGCTGTCAAATGATTAATCGCATCCAAAATAAAAGTTTTTGTTTACATATATGTGTGTGTACTGTGTATATTTATTATGTATAGATAAATACACATACATACAGTATATATTTTGAAAATATTTACATGTATATATTTATATTCATATAATTTATATTATATATAAATATATTTAATATATAAACATAACATATTTTTCTTAAATATATACATGCATGTGTTTGTATTTATATATACATAATAAATATACACAGTAAACAAACATATATTATGTAAACAAAAACTTTTATTTCGGATGCGATTAATCGTTTGACAGCACTAGTTTAAACGGCTTTGTAGACTTGGTAGAATTACTTTCTGGATATGTGCTTTCCTGAAACGGCAGCACCACCTATTGGTCAAGAAAAAAATATATAAATCTGTTTATAACCAACAGTATAATAAATAACATGTTCTGAAGGTGTTCTGACAGTTTGGAGACAGCGACATCTAGTGAACTGTCCTTGTTTGCTACAAATATCTCTCTTTTGCTCGACACTCTCATCTTGGTTTGTCTGTTCGGCTGCAGGCCCAGCTGAACGTAGCACAGTGAATAAAGCAGCTAATTACCATGAACTGTGTGTTGAACCCCAGCTAGAGCAGTCTCATGTACTTCTGTTGACTTTTGAGTCTTTGTGTTGTGCTACTAAAATACAACATTTTATTACCTTTTAGCTTTTGATATTTACTGTAGGTCAGAGAAAAACAACATAATGAAGCATCCTGTCTTCTAAGATTTATCTTCTTGGTTATTGAAGATGTGTCTGTTGCTGCCCGTGATATCCCATAATCATGTGCCTATAAAAATAAATGAAATGGCATCTTACAGTGCAGTTGAAAGTAATTTAATAAATAAACGTGTGTGTGTGTGTGTGTGTGTGTGTGTTTCTTTGAACTTATGATTCCCATTTACCAAAGTTTTTGCAGGAAAAAATGATCAAACATATGTTTGCATTAAAGCAGACTCTGGTAAGTCCACTGCTCAAAAACCAGCACTTAAAGCAATAGTTCACCCAAAAATGAAAATCTGCTGAAAATGTCTGTTTAGATTTTTATTTGAAATTACTAATAGAAAATAAATTATTAACAGAAAACAACGAAATATCTCAAGGTTTCATTTAAAGAGCTCATGTAACATAACAGCTCATATTGAATTCCTGAGTTGAGTCTGACGGTAAACATTTTCTGAAGAGTAAGCATCTCCTTTCTCTGATTAAAAAATAACTTCATTTTTCTCCCCCAGTGTGTCAGTAAGAAACAGGAAGGAAACAAGATCAGCAGAAAGTCAGCAACAGCTTCAACAGACCGTAGAAATAGCAAAAACCATCCGATAACAACAGCAACATATAATGTAGGTAAATCTAATTTTTTAAATTGCATTTAAAATGCCATCTTAAGTAAAATGCTACTATTTTCATGATTTTCATGGGATAGCATGAATGATGATATCAGACTAATGAATCTTCTAAACTGTAATGACCCTTCAAGTGTGTCATAGTGAAACTGTGTCTTTTTTTTCAGGTTGAGCAGCTCTGTGTCTTTCATTTTTTATGTGAATTTACACAAAGTGAAGATCATGAACTCCAGACTCTCACCGTTGATCCTTCTGCTACTCATTCTAGGTTTGGGCATTATTGTATGTTTTTCCCGTTGTAATGTTTTCATTTAAATGTGTCTCTAATTATCTCTGACATGTTCCAAGAATCATTATCTTGATATATTTCGATCATTATTGCTCTGTATTTGCAAGCTGTTAAAATAATTTAAGATCAGCTGAACTGTCCAGTAGAACTGAATGTCAGTCTGAATGTTGGTCTCACAGGATTTTCTGTTCATACATTTAAAAATGAATGCATATAGATACATTTAAAACAGAGTTTTTGACAGTATTTAAAATGTAACTTAATTAAGCAACATGGTTGAATGGGTGTGAGCAGCAGATTCGTCAGTTGTTTTAGCAATATTTGCTGGTATGAACACTGGATTGTTGCTAGTAGAGGATCTATACTCTGACTGTATGTAAAACATCTCTATAATGAAATGTTTTCTTGTTCAGGCCCTGCAACACTGGACCAGCTCTCTGTGACCTGCAGTCAAAAGAGTATTTGTGCTGTGAAGGGGTCAGAAGTGACACTGAGGTGCTCTTACGTCAACATCAAATTCAAAACTGTGTTCTGGTTCAGTGAGAAACAAAGTACAAACTGGAGAAAAAACAATGAACCTGAAGATTTGACTTTAGACTCAGACTACTCAGGACGAGTGAAACATCAGATCTCAAGCAGCTCTTTAACACTCACAATATCAGACGTGAGAGAGAGAGACTCTGGAGAATATCAGCTCATGTTCATCATAAATGATGGAGTTAAACATCTCAGCTCAGCAACTGTCAATCTAACAGTCACAGGTGAAACTGAGTCCAGATTCTGGTCAGTTCAGTTGTTTTCATTTTCTTAAGTTTTACATTAATTCAGTCCTGCAGGTGAAGATGAATCCTGAATCTACAGACATGACAGATGAGAGAGTAAAGCTTAACTGTGATTCTTCCTGCACCTCTGGAGTTTATTACTACTGGATGAAGAATGGACAGCATTTCAGATATACAGAATCCCGCAACATGTTTGTGTCAATCAGCCCATACGCTGGAAAATTTTCCTGTTTTCTTTATCCAGACCTTAAACATCCCTCCTCTTATCTGTGTGAGTGTTAAGTAATACACTGTTTGATCCATACACGTGTATATTTGAACAAATGTGTGAATTTTGCATGTTAATCTGTGTCTCTTTCAGGTGTTTCTCAGAGTGGCTGCTGGGATGTGACTTACACCTCTAGAAGAGTCTGTGCTATGGTGGGCTCAACAGTAGACATTTCCTGCACATACTCACATCCCTCTGATTATACTGTAAATACAACATTCTGGCATTACGTTCAGACTGGTGACTTCAAGGATCTGCGTGAGGAGCATCAGTTTGCTGGTCGTGTGGAGTATGTGGGGAACAAACTGAGAATCAAAGAGCTCAAGATCAGCGACTCTGGAGAATATCGATTCCGGTTCATCACTGACAAAACAAATGGCAAATACTCAGGAGCACCTGGAGTCACTCTTACCGTTACAGGTAACAAATAATGATGAATGAGTTTTTGTTTTCTATGTCAGTCAAATTCAGTGTTAGGCTCAGCTTGACTTACTACAATTGTGTTTTTCAGATACACAGGTGACAAGCAGACCGGCCACTGTCTCAGGAGGAGAAAAAGTGATATTAAGCTGTTTAACTAAATGCACTCTGAACAACAAATATGCTTACATCTGGTACAAGAACGGACAACAGGTAACAGATGGATTCACTAAAGTCAACAAGCTGTACCTGGACTCAGTCAGCAATGAAGAGCTTCAACAGTATTCCTGTGCTGTAGGAGGTAACACATCTCTCATAATGCATATTGTTTAAAGGGGTCATATGATGCGATTTCAATTTTTCCTTTCTCTTTGGAGTGTTACACCACAATATGGTAAGACATCACAATATGGTAAGGGGCGTATCATTTCCGTCACATGCTTGAGGTATTCAGCCAATCACAACGCACTGGATAGCTGGCCAATCAGAGCACACCTCGCTTTTCAGACCGATGAGGTTTGTAAAAATCGACGTGTTTCAGAAAGGCGGGGCATAGAGGAGAAACAATAATGTACAGTATGTGGAAAATAATGTGTTTTTTTAACCTTAAACTGCATAAACACATTTCATTACACCAAATACACAAAATAATGTTCTTTTTAGCAGCATCATATGGCCCACTTTAATGCAAAATGATTGTTGCACTCTGTTTGAGTGCAATTGCTCTTTTTTAATTCATTTCTGTGTTGTACAGACCGAGAGGAGAGCACAGCTCGACGAAACACTGCTGTCATACTGTGTGTTTTTTTGACTCTTGCTGTCATAGGAATCCTATGGTATAGGTCAGTAAATTTCATTTTAAGTTTTAGGATTTTGAAAAGCAAAACAGTAAAATTATAAGCTAAATTGAAGAGAAATATTTAAGATTCTGACCTATTTATGTTACAAATAAAATGAAATTGTGAAATATAATGATAAATGGAACCTTTAAATTGTAATAAAAAAATTAATTAAATTTAGAAAATCTAAAATAGTGATCTCAGACTCAGGCCACATATTATACTACATATACAAATAGCTGTGTTTCTTTAAGGAGGAGAATGTGTACCTTGTCTAAAACCCACAGGATTGAAAAGGGGGAGGAGGAGGAGGTTCAGGTAAAGATGGCTGACACTAAATCTAATTTTACATACACTTATTTAAAAATGCAGACTTTTCTCTTACTGTCTTTGCCCCATCAGTATGACTCGGTGCACAATAACACTGCACCCTCTGACTTCACGCAGAAAGCAGATGCTGACAATCGAGACATTCATTATTCCAGCATTAGTTTTAAAACAAAACATGCATCTTCAGTCCCCACCGATGAATATCCAACAGACACTACAGAAACCGAGGCTGTCCACTATGCCACTGTAAGGTTCAAATAACACACTGTTGCCTCTGGTGAGCTAATCATGTTATTGCATTTGGTATATCAAAATAGTATAACTGACCATTGCCCTTGGCAGCTGATTTCCTACACTGTGGTTTTCTCATGTATCACTCTTTTTGCATAATAAAATAATTACAGCACAAATCAATATTTGATGTCCATTCATTTATTTTTTGGTAAGTAGACATCCAACAAGCGGGATAATGTGCAGTCAGCCGGTCATTATCGCAAAAAAACAACAACAACAACAACAAAAAAGGTAGGTGTGGCTGACTCTTAACTTTTATGAAGAATATCTCTTTGGATTTGAGACTTTAGTCTTTGCAACTTTACAGATCTTCTTTATGCACCAAGAGCTTGTAACACTCCAAAGAGAAAGGAAAAATTGAAATCGCATCATATGACCCCTTTAAATTTTTAGTAGTTAGTATTAGCACAGCATATCATAATTTGACAAAATATGACACTGTATGATTTTATATTAAATAACTATTAAACTATCTCTGATATTTCAGCAAGTCAACATGTGAATCTTGGTAAGCAAAGTGGTTAATCCTATTTTACTAGTGTGTTTAACAATGACAAAATCAGATTTTACTATATGACTTATCTAAAATGCTATTTTGCACTTTTAGGGCCCTATCATATACCCGGCGCAATGCGGTGCCAGGCGCGACGCAAGTGTTTTTTGCAAGTTTCAGCCCGACGCAGTTGTCATTTTCACGCCCTGCACCGTGTTGTTTAAATAGCTAATGCATTTGCACCCATTTGTGTGCTCATGGGCGTGCTGGTCTGAAAACGAGGTGTGTTCAGGTTCAGGCGCATTGCTGGCGTGTTGCTATTTTGAGGTAACTGATATAAACTGCGCCATTGACCAACAAAAACCGGGTCTAAAGTCTGGCGCAATATATATTTTTTTCTTTGTTATTTAAAGAGCGCGTTAGTAATATGCGCCTATATATGGGTGCACAACACGCATACACTTTGCTTATTACACACACAGGGACGTGGAGCAGCGCACAAACATTTTTAAAAATGAAAAATTAAATTCCCCCATGTAAATAGCGAACCCGCCATGGTGCGAGTGCAACTGGCTTTTAAAGGGGATGGGAGATGAGACTCTGATTGGTTTATGGCGCGTTACGCCCAAAACACACCCATTACTCATTAAGGGAATAGGGACAACCCTTTTAGACCATGTGCCGGGCGCTCCGACCTTCTTTTCGTCGTTAAACTAGCAAAAGTGGACATGCCCTGAGTGCACCTGCACCGTGCGCTTTAGACCTTGCGCTTAGATCTTTAAAATAGGGCCCATTGTCCCTGAGTTTGCAGGCACTCAGACTTATGTGTACAAATATGAGGCTTTGCTCTTCAGTGGTCTTCACCAGGAAGGTCTGGCCAGAGCTGGCATTAAGATCAACAGCAAGGTTTCCAGCAGTGCTGCAACTGAGAATACGTTCCTTCTTAAGGTACCAGAAGAGTTTAATGCCAACATGGAGCTTTGTTCTGTTGCTGACCCGAGATATAATTGAAAAGAAGCACATAATTATTCAAAGTTTGCCTATTTGTTTCAGCTTTCGAATCCTCAGCTGTTTGAGAACAGTGGTATCTGGCCCACAGATATGTTTGTTGCTACTAAACTCATCTCAGAACTGACTGCTCAGCTTCAGATTCCTATTAAGTTTGAATACACCAATGGTGTGGTTGGAAAGGTATTCACACCTTCTGAGGTCCCAACTACCGTTATCAACCTGCACAGGGAAATTCTGAACATCTTTCAGCTCAACCTCAAGAAGACCCAGAACATCTATGAGGTTCAAGAGGTGATACTTGTTGAAATTAAGTTTGATTATCAATAAAATGAATCTAGATCTTAAATCTGAATCTTCATTCTGATGTAGGATGGAGTTCAGGGCATTTGTGAGACCCAGTATCTGATCAGTGAAGATGAAGGAAACAACCTCACTACCATCACCAAGTCTAGAGATCTTACACTTTGTCATGAGAGGATAATGAAGGATGTTGGCTTGACTTACACTGAAAAGTGCATTGAATGTCAACAGGTCTGGTCAAAAATTTCTTATCAATGCTTTTGTTTCCAGGATTTCAACTGGGGGTTCATAAAGGTACTGCAGAGGGTGTGTGACCTGTAAAACAATAAAATATGCAATAAACTATATTATCCAACAGAAGGTAAAGAGTCTCTCTGGAGCTGCAACCTACAGCTACAGCATGAAGTCAACTCCAACTGGTGTTATGATTTCTGAAGCAACAGTCCAAGAGTTTAATCAGTTTACACCTCTATATGAGATTTGTGATGCTACCCAGATGGAAACTAGGCAAGACGTTTGCTTATTCACTCTTGTATGGAATTAATTATATCTGTGTTTATTTTGTGTGTGTGTGTGATAACCCAAGTACTGTATATTTTCAACATTTCAGACAAACTTTGACCTTTCTGGAGATTACAGTCTCTCCCATAATTCCAGAGCTGGAGCTTTACAGTATGAATTTAGCACTGAGACTCTTTGGAGTCCAATTCAGCTCATGAGAATCAATAATCCACAGGCTCAAGTAAGGACATATTTCATATTATTATTAATATACATTTAATATAGTTATATTTTAACTGCTTTTGTTTTACTGGTATTCATTAAGATGGTAGATGCTCTGGATCATCTGGCTACAAAAGAAATTGGGAGAAGTCCATGGCGATGTTCCTCTGAAATGTATTCAGCTCATCCAGCTTTTGCGTTTTTCAAGCATGGATGCTATTGAAGGAATCTGGTCTCAATTTAAAACCAGACCTGATTTTAGGTGCACATTCACTTTTACAGTCTGAAACAGCTCTTTGCAGATTGCCATTCATTTTTTACTCTTCTAAGGAAATGGATCTTAGAGGCTGTTCCTGCAGTTGGCACCTTAGCTGCATTAAAATTCATCAAAAAGACCTTCTTGGCAGGCGAACTTTCCATCCCTGAGTTCACTCAGGTCCTTCTATCCACTGTGCACATGGTCACTGCACATTTGGACACCATTAAGATGTACTCTGTGCGTACACTCGTATTTGATGATTGACGCAAAGCTTAAACGACTTATTTAGCATGCCAAATATCCTCTGAACCTGTTCTGCAAATGTAATCACCAAAGGGTCTGGCTTTAAGTCACAAAGTTCAAGAAACACCTGTTCTACGTAAGGTTGCAATGCTTGGCTATGGGACAATGTTTACCAGGTACTGCAGGGGATCTCTTGAATGCCCAGTGGAGCTTTTGAAGGTAAAGAAGATCATTCACTAATTGTTTTGCTTGACTATGTGTGGAGTGTGGACAACTTCCTCTTTTTTTTCAAGCCCTTCCATGAGACTGTTATTGAGGTGACTGCTAAGGCTGACATTGCAGAGATCATCTTGATTCTGAAAGTACTGGGCAACGCTGGTCACCCTGCTAGCATTAAATACATCACAAAGTTTCTACCAGTATTTGGGAACCAAATACCTCTGTTTCCCATGAGAGTTCAAGTGGGTGCAGTTTTGGCTTTGAAGGCTATTGCCAAAAAGTAACCCAAACTGGTTAGTCAGATATTTCTGAGTCATGCTTTGCTTTGTCATACTGATTGTGAGTTACTTGAATTTTGTTTCTCAGCTCCAGTCTTCAGGGCCCACCTCCCAGAATGTTTTAGATGTCTCCCTGTTTAACAAAACAACAAACCGATGAGTTTTAATTAGTGAGACATCTAAAATGTTCTGGTATATAGGTCCCAAGGACTGGAGTTAAGAAACACTGGTTTACTATATGCATTTCATTTTGCATTTCAGGTCCAGAATGTAGTTCTGCAGATTTTTGCAAACAAAGATCTCCACCCTGAGGTGCGCATGGTTTCATGGATTGTGCTTTTTGAGTCAAAGCCATGGGTCTGGTTATTACTCTTGCACGTGCTCTACAGAAGGAACCAAATCTACAGGTGGCCAGTCTTGTGTACTCACACATGAAAGTCTTGACAAGGAGCACACACCCTGAGTTTGCTCTAATGTGAGTTAACGCTAACAAATGCAAAAATGTTTTTTGCAACATATAGATGTTTAAAACTTCAACATCAACAATATATCTTGGTCTTTTTCAGTGCTTTGGCCTGCAGGGTTGCCATTAAGATATTAAGCCCAAAACTGGACAAACTTAGCTTTCGTTACAGCAAAGCATTTCTCTTGTATGGTTATGAAGGTAAGAAAGTTCTGTTGATCTCCAATGGTGTTGCATGCCAGGAGAGGGGTTCTTCTGAAAACTTTCCCATTAGTTTCACTATTTAGTTCCTCTCATGGTTGGAGCTGCTGGTAGTGCCTTCATCATCAATGATGCTGCCACTATACTGCCCAGAGCTGTTGTAGCTAAAGCATGTGCTTACCTGGCTGGAACTGCTGCTGATGTTCTTGAGGTAAGTAAATAATATTTAGGAAAAGATGGAGTACTTAGTAATTGTATTCATTTCTTAAATTCCTACCCGACCTCACTGAAGCGCTTTCTCTCAGGTTGGCATTAGATCTGATGGAATTCAGGAGGCTCTTCTGAAATCTCCATTTCTGAATGAGGACAGGCTGCCCAGGATGAAACAAATTCTTAAGGCTGTACGTGAGGCGTATCATAAATGTAATTTATGGAGTGTTTCCTAACAGTTACATATATTTGATGTTTATTTGGCATATTGCAGTTTAAAACCTGCTCATTGCCTGAGCTCGATCTATGTGAAAGTTCTTGGACAAGAGATTGCTTTTGCAGTTGTTGATAATGCAGTTCTTGATCAGGCAACACAGGTATATATTGTGGTAATATCACTTCATATGAACCAAAAAACAAACTAATTTGCATTGTCCCCTGAAACTTTTGAGAAGAATGCTCAAAATGAAGCTAACCATCAAATTGTATCTATAGCTTACTACTGGAGGCTATATACGTGAGCTGGCAGGGGAAGCTCTTAAAGCAATGCAGAATGGCATTGCCTTC